AAAAATTAGAAGCTCTGCTGGCTTAGTAGTAAGTGATTCCACTATCAACACAAAGGTATGAAGTTTGAATTGATCAGCTGCTCAGCAGGAGAAAGATGGGCTATCTCATCCCATGAGATTGAATGCCTCTGAGCATCTGCTGGGGGGCCAGCTATGAGTCAGTTCTGACTTGATACAGAACAATGACTAAAATGCTTATTACATTAAAAATATCTTTATTGGTACCTTCTGTATTATTATAGTATATTAATAAAATGTGTAATAATATCTAACATTAAAATAAGGGAATCATTAAAACGGAGAAAAACAGGGTCCTAGGGACATAAAGATTTTTTAATACTAGATTTATAGTTGCTAACTAGTTAACTTGACATGAACAATTTCATTTTGCACAGTGTTTCTTTCATTAGTAAAGGAAGATGGGAAGAAGAGAGGAAAAGAGAAAGGAAGAAAGAGAGGAAAGGTGGAAGAAGAGAAGGAAAAAGGAATGAAGAAAGATAAGCACGTTGAAAATATTTAAAATAAAATTACATTAACTTAGTCAATAATGCAAAAAACATATTAAGCACCTAATACTAGTGTGTTTAGTTTTCTTTGTAGTGAACAACATGCAAAAAACCAAAATATGCTCTTACATTTCTGCATAGTCATTCATTTCTCTGAACAAAATACATTTTTACTCTTCCCTCGAAATAGTAATTGTTTACTGAAAGTTATATTCACATGTTATATATCTAAAATAAAGTTTATAGATTAAAACTACTAAATCTTCCATAAAATGTATGATTTAATCATGCATTAAATAAATTAAATAGGATAGATATTGAGTTATGAAAAGAAAAATTAGTATTTGAGATAATGAAAACTATAATGTGTTTTAATGTTACAAGTTATGATTAATCTTCAACATTTTAAGAAGTACTTTCAGATACACATCTAATTTAAATTTAAAAATATATTAAAAGAATAGCATATTTCTTTCTTATCTCACTTAATGGAAAACAAACTTAAAGCACTTAAACTTTATAGATTACATCTCAAAAATGGAGAGTGGTAAAATATGATTAAAAGTTAATAAGCCTGACACTAAAAACAATTATTTCACTGTTCTAAACTTCCTAACATATGAAGAATTATACTTTAAATAGTTAATAAAATGGAGAAAAAAGTTTTGAAAATTTTTTAAAATAGGTATAAAGTAAATAAAAATAAATCTTTCCCTCTGTCTTTATGATTGCATCAAGTTCTGATTGTTAAAACTATACAGAGGTGAAATTGGAAGATTCATACCTGAATTGTGATGAGGCTTACGATCACGGATCAGCCCCATTTGATAATTTTTTATTTCACACATCACTCAGACAAAAATCCAATATCTTCATTCTATGAAGTATTCCTAAATAAAATGAAATTTTCAATTAGTTCATTGTTTTCTTTGGTTCTGATTGGGATTTAAAAATGTTTCACTTCATGTATACTTAAAAAAATGAAATGAGAATTTCTAAAAAGAGAAGTAGAAGTAATTTTAATAATTTCATCTGGTTGTAAAAGAACCAATTATTTTAACAGTGTTATAAAAACAAGTAGGTATTTAAAAAAATTAAAAAAGAAAAAAAACAAGTACGTATTTAAAACTCAACTACATAAAGTTGTTTAATCAATTTACTTAATTGATTTATTTTGTATCACAGACATTGAAGAAAACACATTTTCCTAATTCTAACTGTTTTATTTTGTAACAACTTGTATTTGTGATAACTAAATTGAGGAAACTATCTTCCTTTGCCATTTACATTTTTATATTACATTTTTAATTCAACCTTTCTCCATATCATTACATAGTTTTCATCAATAAATAATCATCAATAACAGTAAAATTGGGCATTTGTTTAAGCTATAACCTTAGACAATATCTTAAAAAGCTCCTGGACAATACCATAGTGATTTTAACACATGTATATCTTACTTTGATCTTAAAAAAGAATTTTTTTTTCATTTCTAATCAGGATGGTTGGAAGAAACAAATGAAACTTGTTTCACTTGCAAATGAGTTTGTATATTGCAGAAGGGTTTGAAAATCATCAAAAAGCATTTAAAAGTGAAAGTTCAAAATAAAAATAAATTCTTAACTCTGTGAAAATATTTTTCCTCTGTTTCACTATAGCATTTTATAGAAACATTACATTTTTACTTCATGTCTATCCCCTTCAGTAAAGAGTAATGCTATTCTAATTGACATAGCATCAAATACTTCATTGAACATTAATTAACTCAGAACTAGCAAGTGTTCCCTATACTTCATAATTTTCATTAGATATTTTAAAACCTTTTAGAACATAATAGAAGGAATGTTTTTAGTTTCTTGAAGTTGAAGTATATTTACTTTTTTAAAATTATTACTGACACACACATATACACACACACCTGATTTGAGAGGAATTGTCCGGATTCTTGTTCATAAAAGGCTCCTATACAACTGTAAATTTTAGTAATATCCTGAGTTCCTAACTTGTAAGTTGAATTAGAAATGCTTTGTTTATTTCCATCTCTTGGTATACTATATGCTATTTTTGTTTCATTTTCCTGTTAACAAAACTCCCGCAAACCACATTGCTTATGATTCATAGTAAATTGGTACATTGAGTGGGTGAGATAATGTCACCTATGGGTGTATGAATGTTAGGCCTAAAATCTTTTGGTGATATGAAAATGATTGAGTCTTAAGCAGCTCAAATTATGTTTTAAAAAAACAAAACAAAATACGGTACTGTATAAAATCTTTCTAATTAAGAAGACAACAGAAGAAAGTTTTCTTCATATGGTTCTCTACATAGGATAAGAGGTTGGGGCAATGGGGGTAGGTGTGTTAGAGTCAGTGAGACTGACTCAAAGCAGGGCAGCCTTCAGAACTGTTGTACATAGGGTCATTATGAGTCGCAAGTGACTTGAGCGCACATAGCAACAACATCTTAAGTCATTTATCTGCTCACTCTTTTTGTTACATAGATAATGATAGGAAAACTATAAAAAGGATAAATGAGAATAAAGTATATTTTGAATGAGCCAACCAGGCACTTATGCCATTGGTTAATTAAAGTTATATTAAAGGTTTTTCATTGTCTGTTTTCTTATTTCTGAAGCATCTCATTCAATATAATTTTAATAATACATTCATTATCTTATTTGATGTGAACCAGTGAGTTATTTTCAAATAGAAAGTACACAGATACTTCAAGTCTGTATTCTAGGAAGTTGCCTCACACATCAAGACTAAATATAGGAGTTAGAATCAAAGCAAACATTCTACCTGGTCTTCCCTGCTGTATATCTTCAAAAGGATGGAATTCTAAGCTTCAGAAGGTGCTCAACTCTGACATCAGTTTTTGCTCTCATGAAAAAATTGCTAACAGTTATCTCTGTAACATATTCAGTGTTTGGGACATGGGTCACAGTAACTCTTTAGTAAAAAGCTTTAGTTCTGCTTGTCTGAACATTACAGCTAGTTTTATCTAAGGAAGTTAGATGCTATTTCTATTTTAGCTCAAATTCCATATAATTAATCCACATGCAAAGATATATTCTTACACATGTACATGGAAAGACATGTTGAAATGAAATACCCAATACTTTTAATGAGTCCCCTATTTTTAAAAAATAAATAAATTTAAAAAGAGAAAGAATGAAAAGAGTAACTTGCATGATTAACTATTGTGAATCATGGACTAACACTAATAATTTCACTGGATACATGTCTATATTCTATATGCCCTAGTATATAATAGAAAATTATAGT